GTATCCTATGGAGATTCAGTTCCTGTTCTTAACTGATTTGGCTCCCAGACACAAGAATGTTTGTCTCTTAGGACTTGATTGTGGAATGCCTGACAGTTTTCATTTTCATTGTTCCTTTCCTAATTGTATTACTGATGTGTGGTGTGTGTGTGTGTGTGTGTGTGTGTGTGTGGTGTTTTGTTTTTTTTTTTAATAGTAAAAGGTACAGAATGGTACTTTTAGTCAGCCTACTCAAAAGAAAACTCCAGTGGAGCACTTCATTTAAGTTATGCTTCTTACTCTAAGTGTGTGTGTGTGTGTGTATGTGTGTGTGTGTGTGTGTGTGTGTGTGTGTGTGTGTGTGTTTTGTTTTGTTTTGTTAATAGTAGAAGGTACAGAATGGTACTTTTAGTCAGCCTACTCAAAAGAAAACTTCAGTGGAGCACTTCATTTAAGTTATGCTTCTTACTCTAATTTGGTTAACGTTTAGTCAGCCAGTTCATCAAATTTAGGTGGTAACCAGCACAGGCGATGCAATTGCTAAAGAGAGTACTTAGGAATTTCTGAGAAGTTTTGAGGCTTACATGAATTGTAGTGCTTATAGTAATTATAATTGTTTTATTGGGCTTATAGACAATGCTTGTAAATTTTGTTTAGAAATGTTTAATGAGTGATTGAAGAAATTGTGTGGGCTAGAGGGCAGTCTGATTTTTATCCACACCACTCCACTCTTCATCATCATCAACAGAGAATTTTGTGTAGACCAGTCTGACCTCAAACTCAACAATTCTCCTGCCTCAATAGCAATGTTGGCATTACAGGTGCATGGCACTACACCCAATTTAATCTCACTTTTTGAGTGAATGGGGTTGGTTGGTAAAATTACATAAAAATAATCTTTTGTTTTCAGTGATATTTTCTTCAACATAGTGGTGATATTTTACTGTTATGTTACATAGATTGTTTTATTGTGAATGGTGTAAGGTAGACCTTTTCTTTGAAAAAAACAATGATTATCTACTGCTTCTTCTTATTTAAATCAGAAACAAGCTTATTTTACATGCTCTCCTATTTTTGTGCATACTTGTGTCAATGTAAAATCTTATTAAATAATGTAGCTTTATAAATCTTTAAATTAAGTGGCTGTATATTATGCTGTAGTTTTCTAAGTATTGAATGCCCTTAACCTTTCTTCCTAAGATTATTATGGCCATGTATCATATTATATTTTCCCACATGGACTGTTTTAAGTGAGAATTTGATATTCTGTATCCTTCTTCCTGAATCTGGATGGGAACTACTATAGCCCAATTTGATGGTAGTAAAACTGTACGGCTTCTGAGGTCAGGACTTAAAATGATGACACAGTTTTTTTTTTCTTCAGATCCTTGATCTTTCCTCCACTTGAGAGGAACCTAACTATTATGGTATTAAGGAACACCCCCCCCCCAACTATAATGGTATAAGGAAGCCCTCTCTAGCCTCTGAGAGAAGTAGCCTATACATTTAATTGTAGATTTCTCATATTATTCCAGATCCTGCCCTATAAGTTTTCTAGCTAAAGCCTCAGATATCACAGAATAATATAGAAGCCTTAATGTTGTGACTGAATTCCACATACAAAGAATTGGAGACTATAGATAAAATAGCTTTGTTTCATGATGTCTGGGGGACAGCTTGTTGTACAGCTGTTGTAACTGGAAAACTATTGTTGGTCCTTTGCCTGTCTATGTAAATTTTAGGATCCCTTAACCAAGTGGTTCTCACCTTCCTAATGCTGTGACCCTTTAATACAGTTCCCCATGTTGTGGTGATCCCAACCATAAAATTATTTTCATTGCTACTTCATAACTGTAATTTTTCTACTGTTATGAATTGTAATGTAGATATATAATATGCAGGATATCTGATGTGTGACCCTTCCCAAAGGGGTTGCCACCCACAGGTTGAGAACCTTTGCCTTAACCTGTGATGGACATTTTTTGTTAAGGATTATATTATAAAGACAATGAACATCTTAATATTGAAAGTCAGGTAGGAGTATATCTCATAGGCTTGGCTTTCTTAATCTCCATAAATTTAGAGGGGTGGATATAGGTGGGTAGTAATGAATTAGCCAGACCTGGTAGAATAATAGATGGTGTTTATTTGGGGAAAGAACTTACACAGAAAACAAGTGACTGACTGTCACAGTGTTCCTGTGTTAAGGATGCAGACTCTGCCTCCCAGATGCTCTCCAGGATCCGAAGGGGACCCTGATTTTCAATCCTCTCTATCAAGTCATGTCCACACCTGTAACCACGCCCAAGGGGCATGGCCACTCTTACTGGTGCACAGGCAAATGTATCACTACAGGGGGGTGTTTCATAGTTTACCATTTTTCTGCCTGCTGATAAATTAGAAATCACTTGATTAATTTTATGAATATTTTAAGTTTTACAAGCTATTTTAGGTATTGTTTTATACAATAGCATTCATTTATATATCAATCTGGGTTCTCATTCAAGTACCCTTCATTCCTTGTTCATTTCTAGAGTTCCACTTGGCATTTTGTTGTTGTTTTCGAGACAGGATTTCTCTATGTAACAGCCCTGGCTGTTCTGAAACTCACTCTGTAAACCAGGCTGGCCTCGAACTCAGAGATCCACCTGCCTCTGCCTTCTGAGTGCTGGGATTAAAGGTGTGCACCACCATCACCTGGTCTACTTGGCATTTCTTGCTTGAGTCACATCAGCATGCCTCTTGAATGTTACTTCTCTCCTATTCTAGTAATTTTTTTGGGGGGGATGTAAATGTTTTTAATCACATTCTGAGCACTGAACAGTAAAAGAAGGAAGAAAAGATACAAATCACATGTTAAAAAATAAGATCTCAAATTCTGGAGTCCCAAGTCCTACATCAATGAACATTTTAGAATTCTTATCCTGTCTGTCTCTAGCTGTGTGGCAATCACTGTCCCTCTCCCCTCAGAGGCAGGCAACAGATGAAACAAGAACATACAGAAATGTAGGTGCAGACGGTCTGAAACCGAGGATCAGGAACAACCACAATGTCCACATTACACTCAGAAACAATTTTCCAAATTTTCCTACATTAGGACTTTTGGGGGACATGACATGAATACATTAACTTAAACCTTTGTCTTTGAACTTCAACTATGAACTCATCACAGTGTCGCGCACACGGGGACAGCAGATGATCACAGTTCCAATCTCAGTGGCTCCCGGAGCCCATCAGTGCCTGAAATATGGAGCTGAGCTTTGAAAGTGTGTTAATCCCAGAGCACAGCTGTCCTGCCCCCTTGGCTCAGTGACTCACCCTTTGCCTCATACTGTTGGTTGCTGGGCGACCCTAGTGCTGAATACTGCCCTTGGCCAAGTAGCGTAACAGATTCATGGTGTATACATAAAAACAAAAAATAAAAAAGCAGACCCTGGCAAACAAAGTAAGAGCAGAAGAGAACATCTGAGAGTGTTTCCACCCACAGTTCTTAGACACTGACTTTTAGTCTGAGACACCATTCTAGAACTTTCTCGAAAATTTTTTTAAGTTTTTTTTGGCGGGGAGGGGAGGTGAAGGGACAACATTTAACAGAATTTGCTGAAAGTAAACTGTCACATAATACATCTCAGAAGAAAATGGAAACTTTGACCCAGAAGGTAAACCTTGGCTCTACCAATTTAGCTGGCACTTCCTATACCCTCCCCCAAATTAATAATTACACACATTTTAGAGAGGAAGTGGTCAAATTGCTGTTTTGACATAATTAGTTTGACTCATCTTCGCTGTTATAAAGTTATCATCGTTGCTCAGTAGTGCTTTGATGTGTACACGTCAATCAGGTGAGTGGAGGACGGGACCTGCAAGCGATTTCCAGGAGAAACGCCATTCGTTTTCATGGTTGTTGCATAAACATGGCACAAAGCGTCCACACAGCGCTTTGGAGGAATCCAAGAGAAGGAGAATCCGTCATTGCAGCGCCAGAGCTGATGATGGACAGGGCTTCCAGCCACATAAAGGTAGACGTGGTCCTGCATCTGCAACCCTGATAGGCTCCTCTATGGTCCAAGGAGAGGAACTCAGACAACCCAAGTGTGGCAACTTTAAGAGACAAGCTCCGCCCACTCTTGCTCTCTCCTTTTCCTGCTATCTTCTGAAGAGGCAGGCAGGTTTTTCCTGTTTGATTTATTCTAGTATTTTTAAAATGACAATTCTTGGCTTTTTCTTTTGTGTCTACACAGTCTTGGACAGTAAGCTTTTGACATTTTTTGTCTCAATGTAGTATGTTTCCAGGGAAGAAGGACTGGACATAGTAGGTAAACTCAAGATGATCTCTGTACAAAAAGGGGATTAGACATTTTTTGCAGATTTTTTTTATTAGAATTAGAATCAAGATTGTTTTACATGACAATCCTAGTTCCGTCTCCCTCCTGTCCTCCCCTACCACCCTCCCCAACTAAAACCCTACCTATCACATATCCTTTCTGCCCCCCCGGATGGTGGGGCCTTCCATAGGGTGTCATCAGAGTCTATCATATCCTTTGGGATAGGGCCTAGGCCCACCCCTGTGTGTCTTGGCTCAGGGAGTATTCCTCTAATGGAGTGGGCTCCCAAAGTCTACACCTATGCTAGGGATAAGTACTGAACTACAGGAGGTCCCATAGATTTCCCAGGTTTCCTCACTGAAACCCATGTTCCTGGGGTCTGGATCCGAGCTATCAGTTTGGGGATTAGACATTTTGTTGGCTTGTTTTCCTTTCCTGGTCTAAGCATTACATTCCAAATCTTTGTTTCCTGATTACAAAATGAGATTAATAAGTGTTACCTACATTTTTATGTGCATTTAATTAGATAGTTTGTTATTAAGCATATTGTTTAGTAG